TATAAGCAACTTGACCTGAGACTGTATGTACTGGGCACATGTCAACTTATATTTATTGGACGCAGTGTTTATTTAATAATGAGATCCAGTTTTATTTATTTAATGTATAATAAATTCTGATTGAACTTTTACATATGCATTGGGTGTATTTATCTCTCTACAAACCCCTTTTTTTCCTATTTTTTTTCCCTACATATTGTACCTTGCGGGGAGAGATAGCACAGGGGGCCAATGTGGAGGCACCATGTGCAAGTGCTTTTTTAAACTGGTAAAATGCCATGCAAAGTGTAAAGCTTTATAAATGCTGTGTAATAAGTCATTTCTTCTTGATTGTGAATAAATATGGTCTTGTTAGAGAGTCTTTATTGGTGTTTGTTTTACAGATGTCACTTTGCCTTCCCATCTGGTAGGCAACATTGAGCCATCGATGGAAACTAACAGCCCTCTTGCTAATAAATTGAATCTGAGGAGGCCACAGAACAGATCCTCAAAAGTCCCAAGTATTTTATCTTCTGAGGTTTACGATATTTATGAAGAGTTATCAACAATCTACCAGAAATTGCAGGTAACTTATATTTGTGGTTCATCCATATGGCCATACACAAACCATCATATAACAACATAACCCTGTTTTTGAATTGAGTTGAAATTAGGGATGCACCGATACCAATACTAGTATCGATATCAGTGCCGATACTAGTACTCGTACTCACCCAAATGCTCCAATACCAGAACTTCCAATTAGAGGGAGTTCTCCCTCTTACCTGTAGTGTCGAGGGTGCATGGAGCCGGCTTCCTTTCCAATCAGGAAGCCAGGCGGTGGGTTATAACCTGCCTCCCAGCGTTCTGATTGGTTAGATAGCCGTGCTGTCTAGCAACAAGGGAAGCTGGCTTCTTAGCCAATCAGGAAGCTGTTTGGCACCTCATGACCAGCCATCCGGCTTCCTGATTATTCAGGAAGCCAGGCAGCCTCCGCTAGTGAAGCCGGTGTTCTTTTGATAGAACTCTGGCTTCCCAGGCAATCTGGAAGATGGGCGGCGGGTCATGATCCACTGTCTGACTTCCTAATAATCGGGGCACACAGCACCGATAGCGGAGAAAAAATATCGGTACTCGATACCGGAAAACCGATGCATCCCTAGTTTAAAGTGTATGTCAGCTCATAATAAAAGAATAAACCTATGCTGTATATGCACGCTATGCAAATGTCACCATGTTTTATCCTAAAAATACTTGTTAATCACGGGTGAAATGCAGTCTGCTCTTTTTGTGGGCTGACAACACACGGCACGTTTGCCAAACTACGCACAACCACCTACTCTCCCATCTCCACAACATGAAGACTGATCCTCCAGTTGTCCCAGGATAAGGACTGGGCTAAGTACTCTTTTTGTGACGATAACAGGAAATGAGTATTGGATACAGGACAGCTCTGAATTTCTGAAATGGTCAACAGCTATTTTATTGCACCAATAAAACAGGACACTTTCAATGTTATCATTAACAGACAAGCAGTTTGTGATTGCTCAGCGCTTGGTATATAGAGGTGGCGTGTGACAGCTGATGTGTTCCACACCGACTCTAAGTATTGGGAAGAGTATGTTTTACTCTCCTAATATTTATTTTCTAAGGCTGAACTCTAGGCAAAAATAAAAGGCCTGTCCATTAATGTGTCTCAGACCTGGTGAGTTTTTGTACTATAGGTGGTAGTGATTTAGTGTGGGTCTCTTTTGGTTGTTAGACAGAGACCAACATTTCAAATGTGTATGTAGCTGTGTTGTGGACTTACATCAGGACTGTTATGTAGAAGGCATACAAGCGTCTCTTTTAAAGCTATATGTACAATTAACTAGAATGACTCAAGAAAATGACTGTACAATTGAGTGTGTGTGTGTGTATGTATGTGTGTATATATATATATATATATATATTGTATTTTTCATTGTGATGAATTGCTTAACTGCTTCACAATTTTTTTTTGCAAGTGCATCATGGTAGCCTATTTGTATTTCCATAGACAGAAAGGATGTCACAGCATGAGTATTCACTTCAGTTGAAAAAACGAGAGCAGTGCTTACGCGACAGGGAAGACATGTTATTCAAGCATCAAGCTACCCTCGGCAAAATAAAAGGTGTTGAAGAGATCATGCATGAAAAATTTGGGATAATGAAAGAGGTAATTTATTTTCTGAGCTTTCTATAAATTGCAAATGTTGTCCCCCTTTGACTTTTTCAGTTGGGTCAGGCTCTCTTGACGTTTTAGGGATTTACCAGGATTAAGAGAGGCAATGACTGTTTTTATTCACTGGTATCATTTAGGTCTGGAATGTGATAATGATAATATACAAAGGTTTTCTTTTAGGGGTTTATACTGTTTACAGGGGGCTATTGATGGGAACTCCATCACTAGGGTATAGGGATGCACCGATGCCGGTTTTTCAGTATCAAGTACGAGTACCAATATTTATCTTTCAGTATTCCCCGATATCGAGTACCAATACCGGTACTTCCGCTAGCATGGAGCCGGCTTCCTGGGCAATTGTACTCGCCCAAATACTCGGTATCGGCACTGACACTAGTATTGGTGCATCTCTACTTGGGTATATAACTACATTAATCTTTTTATGTTGATGTCTCTGAACTTTCTGTATTGAACACATAGCTATTCAGTGATATTATACATCCCAGTAATTCTTAGTTACAAGTCACATTTTTGCTTTCTCCTTAATAGTCTAACACTCTACTAAGCTCAAGCCTTAACTTTTATTTAGCATGCATTGTCAAGTGCAAATCTGGAATTATCTTGTTTAGTTCAGCCTTTCACAACCAGGCTGCTGTGGCAACCTGGGGTGCCTTCTGGCTTCCTCAAGGGTGCCTCAAAATTTTCACACAGCCTCGTGCCTTTTCATGGTTCAAACAGGCCTGCTGCCAGCACCATGGAAATGAATGACGCTAACCCTGGGAGAGTGGGATCTATACAGAGGCGGATGGAAGTTTACCTCCATCAAGGCCTGCTCTGCCTCCTGCCCTCCGCCATGTTGCGTCTCCTTATGTAATGGTAGGGCTCTGATGTGAAAGGGTGCTTGTGAAGAGGGAACTCCACCTTTTTGTATGTCATTCCATAGAGTCTGCTTAAATCCAACTGAGGGGTCTGGTAGGGATTTTGGAGGGACTATGCATTGTTTTTTACATTTTAATTTTTCACTTTTTAGACTGGAGTGCCTTGAGATTTTTCATATTTTTAAATTGTGCTGTCACTGAAAAAAGGTTGAGAAATGCTGGATTAGTGTAGACAGACAACAATTGTATCATTGCTACAATTAGTTGCTAGGAGTAGCTGTGTTTTGCATGTACTGTTTTACCTTCCAAAGGATTTGTAATTTTGGCTAGCCATTCTTGTGGTACACATACCTCTGTTGCTTCCTGGGGCAACTATACCACTTCCTTGGTCAGTCCCTTGCTCTCTATTGAGGCAAAGCAATCACATAGGGAGCTGCAATGCTAAACCAAGAAATACTAAACCAAGAAATGTTGAGCAGAATTACAAATGGTTTGGCAGATAATACATTAAACATTTATGTAACTGTTTGCTTGAAGCTCCACTATAAGCTATCTATGGGTATCCACAAAACATAAACTTTTGGGTTGACATGAAAACAAACTTGCTTATAGCAGTAACCACACCATTGCCGTTTGGGTAAAAAAATTAAAATGTTTTAGTTGAAGTCCCATTTCTGTCCAATAGGTGGAGATGTCTTATCAAACAAGGTTTCAAGGAAGACTAGCATCACATATAGGAGGGAATTTGAGGCCACAAATCTTAAACGAAGGGATGCCTAGATTTATTCTAGAATTTATCACAAGAATAATAATATTTCTTCAAGTGCTTTGTGGCAATATGAAAAAGTGTCACAAATTCTCCAAATTAAACAGATCTTGTTCATACCCATGTAAGTCCAGAATTTTCTGAAGCTCTCGTGGTAAAAATAAGTGGATAGCTGTCTACATCATATATATTTAGTGTATCGTGAACTGAACAGGGTTTACTATCATAAGCTGCAGGCTCTTGAACAAAGCCAAATTGTAAGCTTTTGTAAATTTTTATATGTACTATGTTTTTGCACATGTTCCATTTTAACTGTTTGTAATTTTTTGCTGTCATCCATTGACTAGTTCTTGATCTGCAATGCAAATGAGACATCCAATAGCACTAACTTAATGAAGTGTGTAGTAATATTTGATAAATGAAGAAAAATATAGAAGACTCACAAATGTAGCCAATCACTTATTTATTGTGTCCCCGAAAATGATTCTTTGTGGTTGGACTGCAAATCCTAGAAAGCCATAGAAGCATCTGGTTTAAGTGCAATCTTCCTTCCTCCATTGCCATAGACTTAATGACGGCTTAAGGCACTTTGCCTGACTCGGCTGCACTCAACAGGCACTCCTTCTGGTCGCATGTAGTGCTTCATTTGGGAGTATTCTTTATGTAATCAATAATACTTCAATGTGCCAGTGCAAAGCTCAGTATATCGCGAGCTATAGCTCGTGGTATACTGAGATCGCCACACCCGGGGAGGATCCCGACATTACTGTTGAGATCCACCCAGCTGCATGAGTGACAGCTGGCTCGGCAGAGCCAGCTGTACCCGTCCCCTCCCCCATCCGTTCCTTCAGTCAGCGCTGGAGGATCGGAGCGGCGAGGGGGGGAATCCATGCAGGGAGCCATGACTGACAGTCACCCCTCACTGCAGGTAGATGATCGAGAAGTGAGCGAGCAACAGTATGTGTTCACTTCCCGATCTATTGAGCCGACCTGTGACAGTTTCAGTGTCACACCGGCTTGAACTACGAGGATTTTCACTCACCTCATAGTTCTCTTTTAAATTTCTTCCTAAGAGCCATGTAGCAGTATTGAGGTGAGGACAGACACATTATTGCTCCCACTGACTCCCATGGATCTTAAAGCAGCATAGGAAGCAAATGACTCTCCCTGGTTTGCACAGAATATCTAAGGTGCACATTAGCAGCCCTTTCATCTTTAGAAACAGATACAAAACTGTTAAAAGCTTTCATTTTATTAATGTAAATCCTTATCATTAGAAACCACAGAGGAGCTTTTGACTAAGTCAGAGTTCTTATTTAAGATAATTCCTACAGGTGCCATAGCAGAGAGATGGACATCTCTATAGAGCACATTCTGTCTTTAATTGGGAGCCCATGAATTGCAAAAAAATGGGGAATAATGACATTTCTGTAATCTTAGCATCTCTCATAGACTTGGTTTGAAACAAGCTAGTGCAGTTTTTTTGTCGGAGCTTTTTTGAATTTTTGTTTGTTCAATTAAAGTGACACTAAACTCAAGAGTTAAACCTTAAAATTACATTAAAGTGCCCTAACTACTAACAAAAATGTATCGTATTTGTGTATCACTCGGCTGTAGTTCCTCAAATCATCTCTGAATTGGTGCTGACACTGTCCTTCCTTCTGGAGGGTGGCTACTTTTGTTCCCTGTGTGTGTTGTAAAGTAGCCACCACTGCAAACTCACTCCTGTGATGGACTATAATCACAAGTTTAGTTTATTAATTTGTATTGCGATTGCAGTCTATCACGGGAGTGAGCTTGGAGCGGTGGCTACTTTACAACACACAGGGATCATGGGGAGCAAAAGTAGCCACCCCCAGATGGAAGGACAGTGTCAGCACCAATTCAAAGATGATTTGAGGATCTACAGCCAAGTGATACACAAATAAGATACATTTCTGTTAATAGTTAAGGCACTTGAATGTATTTTTAAGATTTATCTCCTGAGTTTGTCACTTCAAACACACATATCAAAATTCAGATTCTGACTCCATCAAGGTTAGAAAACAAAGTGAGCAGGTTGTTCTTGTTGTAGTACATGAAAACACCTTTCACAACTGTTTAACGCCGTCTAAATTGCAGTTTTTTTCTTTGTTTACATATAGTTAAATGAAAGCCAGCTTATCAAAGTGTTGGGCTTTGCCCCACTTGCTGCCTTCCTAAGAAAATTCTCCATAATGTCTATATTATATATTACGAGTCCTAATTAGTTCAGTCATTTCACCTTTTTATGGATTTTCACAGAGTCTTAATATTTCTGTGAACAAGATCATGTTTCCATGATGTGACTCCCAGCTATAGTAACACTTCTTTTATATAGAGGACATCAAAAAGAGTTTTGGTACCATATGTCCCAAAATAAAAGGTATGTCCTATTCCAGTAGAGGGATCTTGAAACAATTTGAGAAATAAATCCGGTTGCACAGCACCTCTAAACATTTCCACATTGCTTTGTTGTGCACGAAACATGTGAATTATTAACTGTTTATGTATTGCAGTACATTGCATTATGTGGACTGTCAGTTGTGTGTTGGCCTAGGATGGCCGCATACTGCCGTTTCCTGCCAGTTGAATAAATCACCTAAATTTCAAAGTAGAGCTTGTGCTCAGTTTACAGAAAAAGACAAACCGATATTTATAATTATTTTATAACTACCCCTTCATCTTGAAATTAATAAAAGGCTGTGGTGAAAAATGTTTAGTGTAATTGGCCTTACACCTGCTGATATGGCCATGCAGATAAGCAGAAGATGGTAATGCACAGTCATAAAGAACCTGCTAGAGCCATTTCTCTTCCCTGAATTGAGTAATTCTGTGTAAAGAATATGCTGGTACTAATGAGAGAACTATGGGGTAACCTTTTTTTCCTATAGTTCTCTTTAGGGCCTACTAATGTCCTCCCGTGACCCAAAACTCAGTATATCGTGGGCTATTGCCTGCGATATACTGAGAGCGCCGCAACCAGGACAGATCCCGACAATACTGTCGAGATCCACCCAGTTGCGTGAGTGACAGCTGGCTCTGCCTATCTAGGGGCTGTGCCCGCCCCCTCCCCGTCCGTTCCTGCACTCTGCGATCGAGGGTCAGTGAGAGGAGTGGGGAATCCCTGTGGGGGAGCGATGACTTACAGTCACCGCTCACTGCAGGGAGACAATCTGGAAGTGAACGGATCGGTGCATGTTTCTGCTCACTTCCCGAACGGCAGAGCCGACCTGTGACAGCTTCTTTGCCACAGATCGGCTCTAACTATGGAAATCACTCACCTCATAGTTCTCCTTTTTAATAATACTATATACTTGCGACAACATGAATCACTGGATTCATTCTGCAGCCACCCTGGGTTGTGCAGATATAAAAGCAGAACCAGTTTTTCTTTTTATGCAGTCATCAGGTTAAAAATAATTAATGAACACATAATTGCAAAACTTTGTCTTGGAGTTTTGTTTTTTTTAGGTCTTCTAGCTGATGTGCAGGAACTTGCAGTTTCAGAGTACAGTAAACTCCCTGTTATCCGGCATCCACGGGTATTGGTAGATTCTGGATAAATGTACTTTCTGGTTCCTTGAGAGTGACTATTAAAAATAGGTCTGACTAATGCCATACCCCATACTATACCATAAAAAAATTAAATGCAGTAATCAAAAGCAAATTAAGACCAATAGACACACTTAAAACAAATTAAGACAAATAGGCACATGATCGTTTCCAGGATAATACATGCTGCAAAACAGTGAGCACACAGGATTTTTTTTCTAGCTAGATGAGAGTTTTGATTAGTTTAATACCGGATAACAGAGTTTACTGTATATGCTTTAAAAAAGATACTTTAACTTTTCTTAAAATTGTTGACATAATATTTACAGTGTCAATACAGTATGTATTAATAATGCAGTAAAGAAGACAAGGATTTGTGCTTTGCAAGAAGTGCTGGCTAATTTTGTATTTCTTCCACTTTAAGCCTTTGCATTTACTTTTTTTTTTTTAGCAGACCGGCTAGTGTGAACAGGCCGTCACTCTAATGGCCTCCTCCCAGCAGTTTGTATTTTGTGGATGCTGAGAGCTATGTTACTTCTGTGTGCATCACTCGCAGCTTGTGATTATTGATCATGTTCTTTCTTGTTTAAAAAACGTATATTAGTATACAGGTCATAGGTGATTTGTTATGGTCTCAGGACATTTCCTGTTGTTTGAAAAGAGGTGGGTGATCTTAATGCTTCAGATAACATCTTCTATGCCTTTTTTTCAGGACAAAGTAACAGGTTCTCCTTTTTATTGTTTCTCCTTTATATTTTCTACCACACTGTTAATAGGGGCGGTTATCCTGGGTTGGCCTACAGTTTTTATGTTTGCCAGTGTCCAATCTTGCGGTAGGCAGCAGTATAACCTGAAGGCTTAAGACTTCCTGTGTCCTTCAACAGACTCCAATAAAACGATTTTTACCAGGAGTGCAAAAACCATATTTTAATGTTTGCTTCTTTTTTTATTGAAACAGTGAGACTACAAATAACTGAATCTAATATGCTGCAGATACTGACATGTTTAATGTATCCTACATATGCAGTGAATATTGTAATCCTATTTTCTTTAAAAGCATGGATGATAAAGATATATATTTTTCTTACCATCCAAGCTTTTTCATAAAAAAATACACCTTTGCTGCTGATGTGGGGTTTATATAATTTATCCTTTTTAAACTGTGTTCTAAATTTTTCATTGTTTTTTTTGTTTGTATCACATAAACAAAATCTGTTATTGGAGATGTAACTGAACAAAAACCTGATCTGTAAAAAGGAAGTGGGTAATAAGTCTGTTTTGGAATTCTTTGTTTAGGAAAGAACCAGAATGAAATCTTCTTCTTTTCGATTTAAAGCCGTCTCTTACAGGCTGTATTCTTTGCTTTATAGAAGCATGATGCAGAGGTGAAACATCTGTCAGAAGCTCTCAGAGAGAAGATTAAAGAAAACAAAAGGCTAAAATCCTCCTTTGACACCTTGAAGGAAATGAACGACACTTTAAAAAAGCAGGCAAGACTCGACCTCTGTTTATAATACTTACGATCCGATGAATGAACTCTGACTCACTAAACATTACAATACAGGTTAGAACAAGGTAACAGTCAATCAGAAACCTTTGTTTCAAAAGGTTTACATACTGTGGACCATAAACTGGTCTTTATTGGCGTTTCAGGCTCTGGTTTTGTTGTGCGTTAGTTTAAAACCGAATCATTGAAGTACATAGGAAAACAAATGCTGTAACCCACAGAAAAAATGCTCTTTGTGAAAAATATAGTTTCTGGGGTCCTTTTGCCTCTAATTCATATATCTGGTAAAGTTATCAAATGAAGACCTACCGTGTTTCCCCCGAAAGTAAGACCTACCCCGAAAATAAGACCTAGCACTATCGTCAGGGTTTTCTGTAATATAAGACCTACCCCGAAAATAAGACCTAGTTCGGTGGTAGATCTCGTATTACAGAAATCCCTGAAGATAGTGCTAG